GCAAAAAAATAAAAGCTATTAATGTAGTACCCTCATTTCTTATTGGATTCCTAAAAAACAACATTTATAATTATTTTTAATAAATTTTTTCAATTTTTTTTTAAGGCCGAATCTAATCGATTCGGCCGATTCCCGATTCGAAATGCCGATTCACCGATCTGGATGGGTTTTTGGGGTGTCCAATCCGGGGCACTGATCTATTTTTTAAACCACTGGTTGCAACTGTCAACACCCTAACTAATCAAGCTGAAGTTCGGCTCTTGAGAGGAAGAGAAACTTGTGGTTTGATTTGTATACCTTATCTTAGCTTTCTTGTGAGTAGCAAGAGTGATATGAAGTTCCACGATCTTAATTTTGGAAGGTGAACAAGGTGAGGAGCCAAGGACATTTTATGGTTTGCTTAGGTAAGAATACTAGATCAAGAATTGAATCATTTGAAATGAATAGAGAAGTATCCACCATGTTTCTCAACTACAGACTGTGCCGCTTAATCGTAACTGAGTAAACATTCATCAATATAATATCTTGCATCCACTGTTGAAGTTGGAAGGTGGATGCTCTGGTTGTGTACAATCTACCACACTGGTAGTGTTTGGTAAACCAGCTCTTATGTTGCAAGGATATGGTATGAGAAGTAGTGTCTGACTTGGGTTCAAAGAATGAAATTCACATACCTATATTTTTCCAGGTCTACTACGACACATCCACACAAACCATTGGTTTCTATGTATGTGCATATGTACGTATGTATGTAAGTATGACATATAATAATAAAATTTTAAAATAAAAAAATTAATTAAAAAATAACAAAACATTATTTTATATAAAATAAACAATGTGGGTCAAATCAAAGATATGTATCTCCAAATTATACAGATAGGTGTCTTACAAACAGACACTTGTGTGGACACGTGTGTCTTACAAAATGGATATGCATGTCTTGTTTGTTCTGTGGACTAGTGTGTCCACATACCAGACATGCCTCGCTGTGAAATCCAAAACAGTGGAATGGAAATTTTTAGACATGCATGTTGAAATGGATTTCCCATGTCTGTATGCACGTAGCAATGTTCAAAGATGCGGATTCGGGTGACTTGGCGTTTTGGGTGCCTGGCCGCGTAGGCGCCCGCCCAGTGATGGAGTGCCCTCACCAAAATTGAACCCCTACCCCAAACAAAAAAAACAGGGGAGTTCTTAAGGCATGGTTTTAAGTCTTTGGAATTTTTAGGGCAATTTTAGAGCCCAAACTCCTCGTGAAATAGACAAAAATGTAATAATACAATCACATAACAGATTTACGGATACAAGTCTCAAAGAGATTGTAACATGTAAGACATTAAAATGCTTGAAATCCTAGATATCATTGTTGGAAACTAGAAGTCTAGATTAGAAACGATATACAAAATCAACAAGGCGAATAAAAAAACAAATACATTAAGTCATCAACCAAACATGTAAATATATCGTAAAAGAAAAAAAAGGTAAAAGAAAAAGGGTGCGGTTTGTATAGAGCCTAGGCTCTAAACAATCCGATTAGAGCCTATCTTCAAATAGTGTCGAGGAATGTGGTTTCAATGCTAAAAATCTTTTTGATAGCCTTAAAATATATTTTCATATTTATTTATAAAGTTTAAAGGTTAAAAAATAGTATAGATCGAGAGATCTATGAAAACTTGAAAATCTTTAAAATCGACGTTCCAAAAATGAGTTACAAAATACACTATTTTCAAAACTTAAAATCCATTTTTTTCTCATGTTCATGCATCTTGATGTCTAGATGATCAATTTGAGGATATTTAGGCATCAAAACAACCTCATCTAATGAAAGTTTTGAGGTAGGCTCGAAGTTGATTGTTTAGAGCCTCGGCTCTATATAAACTTTTCCCAAAGAAAAAACACATGATTCACAACATAATATGTTGTAACAAAATAAAATCAAAGCCCTCTTTCAAATAATGATAATACTTTAAAAATATCAAAATAAAATCGATGTCGGTGCAAATTTTGTCTATTGGGTCGCCAAAAGTCCTCAAAATCAACTACTAGAAGCTCTAAATCCACCCATGAACTATTGCTTTTGTTTTGGGAAGAAATCGCAAAAATCAAAACTTTATCGATCTTTCGATAAATCACAAAAGAGTAGTTTTTTGGGGTGCCTTTTTCACCCTAAAACGACAGTTTTTTTTTTTGGGGGTTTAGAATACCCCCCAAAACCCTTTTCCCCTTTTTTAAGGGGGGGCAGTTGACATTTTTTTCAACTCTCGCCGAGGGGTTTTTTCGTACTTCCGTAAACTGTCACTGGTCGGCGCCTAGGCGGGCATCAGGATTGTAGCGCCTAGGTGGCACCTTGCCTGCCTAGGCAGGTGGCCGGGGACAGGCCTCATAATTCCACCACCCAGACAACGCCCTAATTGGTTGGGCAGCCGAATTTTCAAACACTGGCGTGTAGAGTGTGTTCGTTGGATTTTCCACTGCCCAGACAACGGCCCAATTGTTGGGCAGCCGAATTTTCAAACACTGGTGTGTAGAGTGTGTTCGTGTGTTGCATTTTCCTAAATGAGCATGACACATGTCGTCATAACGTAGGCTGTCCCTCTAAGGGAAGCCACTTGAGTTAGTTGATGTTGCCAAAATCCGAGCTTCATCCTCAGACATGGTTAGCTACTGTATATAAAATGTTTTGTTTATTTAGCTGATGGTGCATGTGCATTTTCGGAACTTCAAATTGCAGGAAGAGAGACTGAGGAATCTGCAGCAGAGGTTGGAGATTCCTTTCGATGGCTCCTGTTTGGACCATCAGGTAACTGCCCATCCCCTCTGTCTTTTCTCTTTCTATTGTGCTACATTTTAATACATATTCTCTCTTTCTCTCTCTCTCTCTCTCTTCTGCCTGCCCATCCTTTTCTCCCTCCCTTCCTCCATCCATGTAGTTCATTTTAGTTGTTTCATTGTTCACAAATTAAAGATGAGACCATCTTAAAATGTTTTTTTAGGATGCACTGAGGCAGCTATGGAGATTAGCCTACCCCAGTCGTGAGCTCCCATCCCTTAAATCAGAGCTATGGAAAGAGATGGGTTGGCAAGGCACCGACCCATCAACGGATTTCAGGTAGATCTTTAAATCCAGGTATCTTAGTTGACATGATGGGTAAAAGAATAATGAAAGCACGTCTTATTTCTGTCTCTATATGGAGTTGTCCTTTGGCGTGGAAATTTATATTGGCTCTTTTTTTTCAGGGGTGGTGGATTCATTTCACTTGAGAATCTTATTTTCTTTGCAAAGAAGTACCCGGTCAGTCGATCATTTACCCATTCATGGCTATCTCAAATGCTTTTTCCTTTTTGTTTCTATTTGTGGTTGCGATTTTCCTTCCCTCTTTATTGGTAAGCATGGGATTCAAGCCCGCGATGTGGAGAGAGGGAGGGTGGGCTGATTTTGATTGAAATTTTGCACAGGGAGAGAGAGAGAGAGAGAGAGAGAGAGAGAGAGAGAGAGATGATTTTGTTTGTGATTTTGCAGGAGTCGTTTCAGAGATTGTTGCATAAGGAAGAAGGGAAGAGGGCAGAATGGGAGTACCCATTTGCTGTGGCAGGCATCAATATATCATTTATGCTGACACAGATGCTGGACCTTCAAACAGGTATTTCCATAAGTGTTAATATTATTTATGTTATAATTATTATTGGTGTTGTTATTTTGTTGTTTGTAGTACTGGTGGTGGTTAAATATAGTATTAGCAGTAGCAACAGTAGTAGTGGTAGTTGTAGTAATGATAATTATTAATAATGATAGTTATTAATAATTTTAATTTGTAGTGATATATGGTTGTATGAAGTTATAACGAGATACATTCTCATATTTTGTAGATTCTCATTTTCATTGAGATAACACCAAATCCAGAAATTTTAGGATTTTATCTTTTAAAAATGAGTTTTTAAATATGTTTTTACCGTTGTGAGATTGTAATCATAATAACCAAAACATACATAGCTCGTGCCTTTGCTAGTTACTACTATTTAATGAGTGGAAGACAACAGATTGGGACACATGGAGCAAATTACTCCAGATTGTAAAAAAGAAAAGTATATCATACACCACATGGGACCACCCTTAATCTAGTCTGGTCATTGTTATGATTGAATGGTGGATGCCCCTATCTTGCTTGTGTCAAAGACCAGGCGCCAGTTACGGTTTATCATATTGAACACACCTCTGGTGTACAGTACATTTTTTCCCTTTAAAAGTAGGTGGAATAAATGGGATAATTTGATTGTTTTTAAATAGGCAGGCCAAGCACCGTGGCTGGGGTACAGTTTGTGAAACTACTTGCGGAGGACGAGATGGCTTTCGACCATTTGTATTGCATTGCATTTCAGATGATGGATGCTCAGTGGCTTGCCAAACGAGCTTCGTACATGGAATTCAATGTAAAATAATTCATACTCTCATTTTTCTTTTCGGTTTCTTGTTTGGTGAACTCGTTTTTCTTTACTAGGTAAAACTGCACAGTAGAATATGGTGCTTGCCTACCAACCTCTCTCTCTCTCTCTCTCTCTGATGGCTCTGCTCAAGTCTTTTATTTCTGAACCAGTGTAACCTGGGAATCACCCAAGCAGACCGGATTGGGAGGCTGGCGATTCGGGCTAAAATCCCTCCAAACCTCCCACCTCTGCAGTTTCCTCTGCAGTTTTTCTTTTTTATTTTTTAACTTTTCTTTGTTAAATATAGTCTGATCCTAAGGAATCACCTAAGCCGGACCGGGTGAATTGGAATCGAATCCCTGTTGAATGAGAGCCTGGTTTCTATTTTTTAATAAATAGTTTTGAGCTGCTGGCCTTTCTCATATTGCAATGTTCTGTTCTAATGTTTATGATCCCAACTAGTGTTTTTTATTTTTTTGGTGGTTTTCAGGAGGTTTTAAAGTCGACAAGAATGCAATTAGAGAGGGAGCTCGCATTAGAAGATGTTCACAGGATCGAGGATTTGCCAGCTTACACCTTGTTGAGAAGTTAGCCTTCTCTGTGGTTTATCACTGTAAACCTGCTGTGTTTTGCTTTTTTACGTGTAAATTTATGCACTTTCCAATTCCATGAGTAGAGGGGCTCTTAACATGCTCATAGTGGCCTGTTTGCGTGGGTCTTTTACTTCTATTAACTCCCCAGGTCGCGTTTCTAATTCATTTAGATGCCAAAATATCAGGAATTGGGTCTGCTCCTGCTATTCACATTTATCGATGTGTGCTGTAAAATCCTTGGCCAGCAACTGATACTAACTCTCTAAATGCTTGAGACCCTCTGTTTATTGATATGTTAACGGTGGGAATGGAAGGTGGCATTATGTTGTGGCAATCCGCTCGAGATCCTTCGTTTCGTTAATTTGAAATACGGTTAACGTTGCTGCAGACTTCTGAAAGCATCGAAACATGCCTCAAGAGTCTTTGTCCCACGATTAAAATAGCTCATTCACTTGGGCCCTTTTCATAACAGGAGGCTGCAGCTTCTGAAGCCGTGTCTTCTCAAATTATAGTACTTTCTACGTTTGTTAATTACATTGGTTTAGTTGGAAGCAGCCGCTTCCATTGGCCTCCAAATTCGTGACGGTGTTTGAGAACTGATATATGCAGAATTTTACATTTGACAGTTTGAGGTGCTGTTGATTTTTTTGAAAATACTATAAAAAAACAAGTACACCTGTAGGATCCTTGATTATTTATATGCATGGAATTCGAGGGCCTTGACTCTCTTTTGTAAAAACATTGTCAATTTAAATCGCTTATAAATACTTAGAAGGTTTTATTGATTTATTAAATCACTTTTTTTTAGAATAATTCTTAAAATCTCTTGAAAAGAATCTCCTATAGTACTTAAAAAATTTGTAGATAAATGATCTTATAGGATTTTTTTTCAGCCATGTGCGTAGGACTCCCAAAAGATCACTATTAAAGTTGGTACGGATTTTTAGAAAAGTCAAGTTTTACATCCATGTGATAACTTTTTTAGAGATCTGTGCTAACTTTAATGGTGATCTTTTAGAGTTTTACACACATGGGTGGGGTAGGGTCTTATAGGATATTACTTAAATTTGTATTGTCTTTTGAAAAAAAAGCCTCAGTAGAGACGCACTATCAATGATTTTACTCATAGGCTTAAAAGTTATCTTTGATCAAGATAGAACAATTGGGATTTTGTAATATTATTTGAAGCATTTTTTGGTAAATCAGATCAATTTGAGTTTGAAGGTGTTTCTATCTAATTGCAACACAATAAAGATATGAACACGATATTAGGCATGAAATAAAATGACTAAAATGCATTTATAATTTATAGCGGTGGTTTGGTCATTTTATTTTATGTGAAATATTATGTTTATAATTTTTTGGCGGCGTGGCACTTATCCTTAAAATTTTAGATAGAAATTGTTTGGGGAAAAATAATTTTCTTAAAACAAAGCTTTCAATTGTCCAATCAAAATTGGAAGGTGAATAGCCTTTTACGCCCACCAGCAAAACTTCTTAAGGATATAGGATTAGTAGGGTTTTCCTTTCAATAGCATTAAACATTACTTTTAGTATTTTACAAACCCTAGGGATTGAGAAATCATTATATTTATTCAGAAATGCCGATCATACTAGGCTATTTCAGTTCCAAAAGTCCCATGATGCCCCAAAATCTCTCGCCTTTAGTTTTACTCAAGGTTTTAAAAAACGGATTGACTTGGATCGACCTTCTGGATTTTTTATCCAATTTGGCAGATCGACAATCTGAAAAAAATTACAAAAATTAGAGAAAATTATGTACGGACACTATGGGGGGTCAATTACCGAACGGGTACTCATTTGCTTGAAATTACGAGCAACTTTTTTTCCCCGATGGTGTTTTTTTTTTTTTCTAAGTTACCCTCTTGTCCGGTAATGCAAATATTGGACAGCGGTGTTTTTATTTTCGCACTCACCAGAGTTGTGTTCGAAATACTAGACAACTATTTGAGCTTTCTAACACCTTAAGAGCGTCATTTTGCTACTATTGCTCTCTTTGTTTTTCCTTTTTCTCCTGTCACTCTCTATTTGCTCAAGCCCAAGTCCAACGCTCTGTGCGACCTTCGAGCCTAGTTCTCTCTTTCTCCGCAGAGCAGGCTTATCATGTCATGACTGCTAATCAGTTATGTTTTAGAATTTTTTTATTTTTATTTTGGGAAAATGAGATTTATCTTTTATTTATTTATTTAAATTTTAAATACGAAAAATCTTTCCTTTTTATTCATTTCCATGATCCTTTATTTTATACTTATGGTCATAGAAAATAAACCCCAAAACTAACGGATTTTTTGTTTTATTTAGAAGATTTAGATTATGCAATCTTGTAGAAAATAAACCCCAAATATAGATGTTCGATTACTTCATTCGATCGCAGTTTTTTTTTTATTATCTGGTTATGCT